CTTGTCTGAGAGATTTTTATAATCGATTATCCTGCCATGTCGTAATTATTAAAATCGTTGATTTATACTACTATGCCTTAAATTCTTAATAAAAACTATTAAGACGAAAATTTGCAATTCAAATTTTTCTATTCCATCCACACTGGCGTTCAGAACAAAAAAAGATCTGTGAATATTTTAAGATCGGGTCTAACGTGCATCCTCTTTAAGTGGAATCATTCTTCGGGGGAGATTGCTACGTTTGTATTGAGTGTACGAGGCATCCGTGACTAAACAAGAAAAAAAAGGCATTAAATTGTGCGTCATCGTTGAATCGATAAACGTGTCGAATATTTTCCAAAAGTTCCACCACCAGACAAAGGTGAAGGTGCACCAAAAGTGGGGTCGGGGCTCGTATGAATCGTCGCTGTTCCCACCTACTTCGTCCACCTTGAACCTCTACGATTTAATCCTACCACCGGAGGCTGGGCATATATAAATGCCGTCAGTCGGATCATTTCTAGAATTACATTTAATCGCAGCTAACACGTAACAGGTGAGTGTCTCGCGCGTTCCCTAGAAGTGTTCGATTTCTCACGAGCTATCAGATACGTACTTGAGAAAATCAAACGCGAAGCAACTGATATCGAATAGTTCTTTAAAAAAAATTAACACTCGTGGACATCGTTTCATTACCAGATTCATTGTCGTCAATTCTAATTCTAATTTCATTTATTCCGACAGTCATGAAAACTACGGTGTTGTGTTTGCTCGTCTTGGTGGCTGTCGCTTATGTGGCAGCTCGTCCAAAAGACGAATACACGAGTAAGTTCGACAATATTGACGTGGACCAAATTCTACATAGCGATCGCCTGCTCACTAATTATTTTAAGTGTTTGATGGACGAGGGGAGATGCACTTCGGAAGGAGCTGAGCTGAAGAGTGAGTACATCAAATTATATTTGTTAACAATGGATCGAATATAAAGAAATATCGGTAGAATTCATATGAACGTGTGTCCAATTATCCATCAGTTCTAAGAAAATTTTTCCAATTACTAATTCGTTTTTATTGTTTGTCCAGAAACGTTGCCTGACGCTCTGGAGACCGAGTGCAGCAAATGTTCCGAGAAACACAAGGAGGTGGTCAAGAAGGTGATCAAGTTCTTGGTGAAGGAGAAGCCAGAAATGTGGGACAAACTCGCGAACAAGTACGATCCTGATAGGAAATACAGAACTAAATTCGAAAACCAAGCGAAGGAGCTCGGCGTGTCCGTTTAAACTCACCTAAGACACGGAAGGATTGCGCGAGGTGCGAAGCCGAGGATAAATCTGAATGCTCTTTCGGATAAAATAATTCGCACCTATACTGAACGCGGGCTATGCAGCGATAATTAAGAAACTTTTTGTAACACGACTGAGTGCGAAGTAAACGGGAAAACGAATTCGACGTGGCAGTCAGCGTAATTGTATGAGATAGATGAAGAGATGAATAAAAATGATGTTGAATCGCATTGAATTCGAGTCTGTGTTTTTTTGAGAATAAAACTATCGAAAGTTCATTAAACTCTACGGGGACGTAATATATGCACGCGTTCGTATTCTCCTGTTTCTGATTTTACGCACGAAAACAACTTCGTTTCGAAATACCACGTATTCAACGAAGACTTCTCGCTCGTCGGAGCGACCGATTACATAATTTAGAAAGCGATCTGCTAGAAATTTTAATATCACATCCTTGGAGTTAAATCTGTTGTAATTTTCCTTGAATCTAATGTTCGTCATTAAGACTAAAGCAACGAGCCTGCGTGACGAGTATTATCTTTGATCAGTTAGATCAATCGAGTTAATTTTATTCAAAACGCTTTTCCTTAGGGTGTTTCATATACATATTTTTCCATTTCTCTCCACGACTGATTTATTAAATGAAATTAGAGATCCATGAAATTGTCATCGAATTGAAGTTTCCTCTATTATACGAAATATGCATTTTTCATGGACTTCTATCAATAATTCAGGATAAACTTTGACGGATTGCCCTTCAGCTTCGTCATTCAGAAATCTAACCTGGTAATTAATAAAAGTTTCCAAGAAGGAGAGAGCAATATAAGGATAAAGGCCATACGTGTCAAGGATATCTTCTCTAACTAATGCAACGCGGCTCGTATGAGCTGCACATAACGCACGAATTTTCAAACACACGTCGCGGCCATGCCTGGCCTGGAGAATGTAACAAATCTCGGTCTCCGAGTACAAAAATTCAAAAAGAGCTTCCTCAAGAATTATTTAGAGACCTGTCCGACTTTATTCCACATCTGTTACGATCCCATTGGCACTCATAAGAGATCGCGTGCGTTTATCGGTTTCCTTCTCGGCTTCTTCATGGGCGTTCTTTTATACGAATGCATTATTGTTGATCTGCAATTCGATCCGTACACCAGCGTCTCTTTGGGTGGCATCGTGACTATCATGTTGTCCATTGGATGTGCATCGTCGATTCAGGTGATTAATTACGTAAAAGCGAAGTAGTAAGAAGAATGAAAATTAGCTCAATTAATAGATTTAATTCAGTATGCATTTTCGACTTGAAGGACGACAATTTCATTGAGAAATACTGTTAATTTAAGTATAGGTAATTATGCAGTGTCAAAAAAATACGAAGTTATTATGACAAACAGCTGTCATTGACGTCGAAGATTGATTGAATGATTGTGGAAATGACACATAGACTGTGTCAGCAGATAATGGTTTTTTTTTTTGCTAATATCCGTCACACATTACCTTACTGAGCCTGATTTACGTTGTTTTCTATGTAACATCGAAATTAATTCTTATAGTCGAACATATTGTTCATGTTTGAATTTAAAATTTTATGACAATTATTATAGATAAGATGCGTTTGTATCCTGACGGTTCCGGCGTTTTTTGGCCGAGCAGGTCGAAGTATGTTGAGAGCGCTAATTTTTGCATACATAATAGCGGGGCCACTATTTAATTTGGTGTACAACGCAAAGGAAGTAGTGAGAACGTTCGGTTGCACCTCGCAACTGACATACAATCTTACCAAGACACGATTTGATTTGATGTTCAAGCCGTTTCAACAGGTATAAGCGTTTGTTAAAAAAAACTGTAATATAATGCATTATTTAATAATCATTCTATCGTTAAAAGGCAATTGTGGCAATGAAAGCCGATGCAAACGAGATAAAGGACACCCTCGCCTCGGTGAGGGATTTAATGAGCCCCATCGTCGAGGAGATCGAAGGGGAAGAGGAAATGATGCGACTCAGAGAGGAAAATGATTACATGGATGAATTGCAAGGCGACACGAAAAGGAGCAAAGAGATCGAAGAGAAGCATGAGAAAAAAATTGAAGAAGCGAAATCTGAAGCAGAAGCGTACGAAGCTAAATACAAGGAGAAGATCGAGGCTCGGTGCGAGGAACAGCTAACTCGAGGCGCAGCAAGATGTAGGTATGCTCCAATTATGTGATCGAGGACTTTTATTCAAAATAAAATACAATTAAAAAATGAAATTATTATCATACTTTTGATATTTTGTATAATTTTAAATATTAGACATAAAATCTGTAGCTTTAATATCATAATGCTCCAGGGATATGTTCGGTGAAGCTTACAACAAGTGCTATGAAAAAGTGACCATATTTGTTGGTTGGCTTCTATGTTGGCCAATGAAGCTGACTTTCGTCTGCAATTTGGTACAAGCGATGGGTGGTGCCAGCATTTGTGATCCTGAAGGAAAAGTCGATAGTGGTATCGGTGAGGGATACGTCGCCTTGAAAGGTACATAAATTATCATTAAGTAAGTGCTTAATCATTCATAAGGTAATCAAAAATTCTGAAAGTTAATTATTATACCTCGAGTTCGTGTGTTAAAGTTCAACGAGGCGATCCTTCTGCAAAGGTGCTCGGGACGAGTTCAGCAGGAGCCTGAAGGATGCGAAACTCCAGTACAAAGTGAAAAAGCCTGCGGTGATCCTGGATCTCCAGGATTCGGCCAATGCTGCCAAGGCAGTGATACACGAGTTTGTAGTCAGGAAGAGACTGTTCGAGTCCGTGATGACTTTCGTGAAGAGGTGCCTGTCGTTCGTATTCCTGAAGATCATCCTCAGCGCCCAGAGTTACCACGACAAGTACCTGACGGATATCGAGCACGATAATATCTACGTGACGCCTTACTTCCGGCGGATAGACGCGAGAAGAAAGGTTCGCGGGAGCATGACGCTGCTGCCGTTGAAGAAGATCGAGAGGAGGCAGTTCGTCGATCCTTACAGCGTGAAACCGAGCAAAGCCGAAGGTTTTCACGTGACGGGGCAGGTGGTCAAACTGCTTCTGGAATTAATCACAGCAAGCATTTTCGTTATCCTAGACTGGCTGTTCTACGAGGCGCTAGACTTGATCAGAAGACACGCTTACATGGAGTACACTCAGGTGAATCTTATTTCCATGAGACTTTAGCTCGCTGTTTTGCGATCCTTGATGGAAACCCGGACGATTTCTTCTCACAGGAAGGCCACCATGACTTATCATTAGAGATTCGCGGCACAGGCGTGATCGCGTCGCTCATAAGAAGCGCTGTGCGCGGTTTCAACGTGAAGAAACGGATCAAGACGGTCGTATCAAACAAGGCTTGCCTTCCCCGACCCACGAAACTGCCCGGTTACATGATCTTCAAGATCTACGGGACCTTCGTCGCCGTTTTTCTGCTGATATTCGTGTCCATTTACACGCAACGTATGCGTCGAGGCATTTGTTCGTTCTTCTACCGGCGAAGGGAAAAGAGACGGGTACTCTACCTCTACAACGAGAGTCTACGGCGGAGAATCACTTATGCGAAATTTATGAAGGCCAAAGTGATGAACATGGTACGAACTCGTCGTCTGGAATACGAGATTGATTTTTGGCTGGCCGTGAGACTGAAGTGGCCCGATCGTTTCGGATGGCTGAAGTACTTCGCCTGTGCCCGCGAGAGGTGTCTGATTTGTGGCGATCCGGAGCCCAGGAAAGGGCCGAAGTATCGGGCGTGCACCACTCCCGGTTGCACTTTCCTGCATTGCGCCGAATGCTGGAGGGATGTGGGAAAGATCTGCTATGCTTGTGCCGATTTGCCGGACACTGACACCGAAGGATACGATACACAGCGTAGCGATTTTTAAACAGTGCTCCAGTCTTAATAATGCTGAATAATCATTTTAATTTATTTAATGTTAATTATGTATTCATAACACATTGCGACGTTTATGTTATTGGTTGATTTAGGATTCGAGTAAGAATAGAAATAAAGAATTCATTCTCATGGTTGTATGTATGATAACCTTGGGAATTTAATATTAAGCTTTGATGAAAATAGATTTCCATAAGGAACTATGACACTTAACGTGGCATTGTCAGGGAAGCAACGATATCATCGGGGATGATATAAGACCGTCTGTACATATAAATCTCACGTAGCGAACTCGACAAGAAGTCTCCGGTTTCATAAGGAAGAAACGAGAACTTAAAACGCGCAATTACCATGTTGGATTTACAAGGACCGAGACACGCCTGAACAGAATACAAAATGAATCAGTTTTCTACTTTTAGAAAATCTCATCATACCACAGACAATTCGAAATCAAAGCTTATTTTGATCTCAAGTCATGTTAATGAAGAACCTCCTTGAATCATGTCTCTTTAACTCGAGTCAGCATGCATGAAGTAATCACTCGGTTGATCAAACAAAATCAAGAAAATTACCCTTACATGCGCATTTTTTCCCGAACGAATTACGCCGCGGATACAATTTCCTTCGTAGATGATAAGCAATCGGTCGCGATTTCGTGCGACTAACGAACCGTAGCCGAGGTATATAAGACCTGCACGCTAACGAGGACGACGTCCAGTGATTGGAAAAGTAACAGCGAATCTTGTACTGTCCAAGATGAACACTTTCCTGACTACCCTCGTGCCCGCTCTGTGTTTCCTGCTCGTCCAGGTATCTTGCGACGAGAAGTACACTACTAAATATGATGAAGTCGATATCAACGCTATATTGAACAGCGAGAGGCTTCTGAATGGTTACGTGAACTGTTTATTGAATCGCGGTCCCTGCACACCGGATGCCAGTGAACTTAAGAGTGAGTACTTAATTAACTATTATTAATCATCCCCAGTGATGCTCGCAACGCCGCTGTTCCACGGTCGACCGCAATTTTACGATCGCCGTTGCCGAAGGGCAAGGCCGAGCATTAAATCAGTTACGCATCCTTTGGCCATCTGGAAAAAAAGGGTGGATCCTTGCGCCTGTTACAATTACTCACATATAGAATTTATTGCACCGCGAGTACACTTGCTCCTGATTGGAAGAAAGCGTGCGAGATCATTACGAGAAAATTCATAGCCCCTGGGGACGCGTTTAATTTAGCTTAGTTTATTCCTTGGGATACTAAAGTGATATGATTTATTAATAGTAGGATTTTTTATTACCGTCCAATAATTGTTTGAAATTTTCCTGACCGCTTACTTATTAATTCTTCTGAATGAGTTCGAGTAAAAATAAATGAAATGAACTTGCAGAGAACCTGCCGGATGCCTTGGAACACGAATGCTCAGCCTGCAGCGAGAAGCAGAAGGAGTTCGCAGACAAAATCTCGCATTATTTAATTGATAACAGGGAGGAAGACTGGAGTCTCCTCGAGGCGAAGTATGATCCAACCGGGGCTTACAGGCAACAGTATCTTGAAAATCAAGTTAAAGAGAAGGGACTTGACTAAGCAATCAGCAACATCATTTAATTGTTTCTAATTATATTGCATACGTGTAACATTGCGTTTATCACAGACTTGAAGATAAAATAATTTCAATAAAATATTTTTTACTTATATTATTCCCCTGTTACCCCGCAGCATCATTCACAATTTGTATACGTTCAGTAACTATAAAAGCAACGACAGAAAGTAAATATGCCCATTTTTATGCAAATCGCATTTAGATCTCGTCTGATTTGCATTCAATTAACAGAATCAATCTTTTACAAGTCGTTTCGGAACGGTAATTAATTCGGAGCTAATCAAACGATGATTAATGAGTCTACGACTAATTTATCAACTCTAAAAAGGCAGGACCTAATTCAGGTTCGACTGAAGACAAAGGAGAAAAACCAGGTCTGGCAAATTAGTACCTCCTCTGATTGTTCTTAGGAACCAATTATTTAGGCCATGGATGCTTATGCATTCGTGGAATGCGTGCAAAATTTTATAAATCCTTTTGATTCATCGTTCCAAGAAATAGAGAACGTAGTGACTACCCGATTGCAATTCATACGTAAGAAATTTCGAGCAAGCAGTTGCATCGTTTTGTAACAAGGCGATGAGGCTGAATTCAATTTGTAATCAATTACGTGATCGTTGTCGTGGCAATAAGAAGCAATCAATTCAATTACACATGCAATTTTTCTTGCTCCGTGACTTTGACCTCCGCGAGCGATGAATAGCAAGAAAATCGTTATTGAGTGAGCACACATATACATGTTTCATGAATTATGTAATTCGTTCATCAGATTGTGTGTATGAAAAATGATACTAGCTTTTACACTTCCTAGATTCGTAGATGCTTGTCCATTAAAAAAAAATGGTATTGTTTCATATTTCCCTGTTCCACGTGGACCTCTAGCATGTATAATTGACAACAGCCTTCTCGTGCTACCGTTTACCGTGCGTCATTCCGAAGAAAACTAAGACGAGGAGCGCACACTCTGCAATCTTGTGCTACATTTTGCGGTTTAAAGTTACCGAAAATATCCCGTATCCGGATACTCAAGAAGATTGTAAAGCCCCGATCCACGTGGGTGGTCGGGATCCCTAGGACTCACAATCCTTTGCTGCTTTCCTAGAAGTCCGAGATTTCCAAAGCGAAGAAATAGGAGGGGAAAAAGAACCGAGACAAAAAAGAAACAGTCCCGAAGCAAGTGTGTAACAGGCGCGTGACTAGAAACAAAGAACATAAAAATGGGGTATCGTGTACAAACCGAAAATTGCGTCGACGACGTTAACCGACGGTCAATCGCGTGTTGGTAAAAGTTAATGGGACCGCGGTGGCTGTCGAATAGACAGAAGGGGCGCGTTTTGTGAAAGCGGCGACTTTTATGAACTCTTCGGGACACTTTATTGCCGGCTACGGCTTCTATTCTTTTTCCTCGTCAATGCGCGATACCTGAATTCCACATAGATAGACCCGTCACCGTGGAACGTCTTTTGAAGTAATAAACAGGATTACGGAACTGGTTGGACGCCGGGGAACCGTCGTGAAACTATTAAGCCGGCATAAATCATGTTTCCTGAACGCGTCCAATCCGTAAGCCTTGCCCCGAGTGATAAAGCTCCGTCGACTAAACACGAGACTAGAATACGCGTGCGGTTGTTTAAAATCGACGCGGAGATTTATAAGTGGAACATGGATGTCCACGCATTCACGAGAATCACGTATCAACGGAAAAGCTAGTAATTTATTATCGATCTATTCATTAGCCGTACAGTATTCTAATTTACTGGTTATCGAAGTTCGAGTTCGTATTGATTTATAATTACCGCATTAGCAAAGTAATTATCTGTCTCCATAATTTTCTCTCTGAACGTCTCAGAGGCTTGGCCGTAAAAGTGTTTATCATAAATCCATACGGTTGCTTCGCTGTCTGATATTTATACGAGTAATTTCATTTCGTAACGCGTGGTCGTTTACATCATTTCACAGTAGTCAAAGCTGCCGCGCTGTATCTTTTGATATAAATCGTGCTCGACGCTGTCATTGGAACCGATAGCGCGAGGATCGACGAACAAGCATCGTTACTCCGTTAAAGTAGCTACGATTGTCATTATCTCTTCTCGAAACTTAATCTGACGCAGCATTATCCGAAGCTGGCCTGTGAGAAAGTGCACACGTGTCCCGGCTGGCTGAAAACAGGTAGCCCGTTTCGAATAAATGATCCCGCACACGGTAGCTTTTGGTCGAACGGTTAATTAATGCGTGACATGCTGCGTACAACCGAATTATATTCATCTTATCTGAGAAACCTTGGAATCGTAAAATACGTCCCCTCCTCTCAGCCCTCTTTGATGCTCATGCATGAATGCGAGTGTCGAAGTAATAAAAAAACGATATCGCTCAGAAGACGTACTTTTACGTCGTCGAAGGTTGATATAAATATTCATTTCTGACTTATAATTAAACTAAGAATTAATTCCGCGATGCTTTCATAAAAATGAGGAATGCGCGAGACTTAAATCGTGTCCGGTGGACGGTAACAAAATTTCGAGGGCAAATAACAAACTGTAACTCGTTTAATCACAGAGGGAATCGGCGAGAGCAAGGCGCGGGGTTAAATTACGATAATTGGCGGCGTTACGCTTGGTATTTACGGCGAGCGCGCGCGTGCGTTACGCGTTCACTCTCGCGAGCTGTCGCGCGAGCGAGTCACATGTACGCGCGGGTATTTGTGTGCGTACGCGTTTCTCGCGTTGGAACAGGCCGCTATCGTGGTTATTAAGGAAACAGACGAAGGAACGAAACGAAGGATCAAGCGCGTTGGGTGGTCCTGCCCCGCTGTTTATGGGGCACTGCATCTGCTGGTCCCGTATAACCCTGCGCCGTCGACCTGTGTGGTCCCACCTTACGTCCGACTTTACATTCGATTCACTACTTGCTAATGGTAGTTGCATTAGCATTAGGCGGCCGGCTGTGTTCCGGTAATATAAGCACTCCCGTCTACACAGCCTCCGCTTTTACGCGATTTTTCGACTGCAATATTGATCCTATCAAATATCTGTCGACTACGTCAGGAAATGCGTGCTCGTCAAGACTCTCGAAACAGAGGCGTACGATAAGGATTACATGCATCACCTGCTGTTCCAAAAATGATCTTCAATTCATTTCCCGAAAAGAGCAAAAAGAGGAGGCAGATTTTTTTCCAGAAGAGGCTACGATACCAGTTCTTCATATCGTGGCCACCGCCGCCTGCAGGGTGAAAAATACTTGTGCGCCCGAGCGTGCCACATACTCGATCGGTCTGGCTCGAGAAGGCATCGATCTCGCCATTGATCGATCGATCCGGAGGTCTCGGATAAGATGCTGTCGTCGTCCTGGTCTCGTCCTGCACGTCGTCCAGCACGGGGTGGACCACACGCGTTGTGTCGCCTCTCCGTCCGCTTCTCCGTCCCTCGTTCGTCCTCCCTCTCCCTCGGTCCGATCGCTCGGCTCCCTCCTTTCTCTCCTTTCTCTGGCTGGTTCGCAGCCCTCTCTGGTTCACCGGGCCCACTCTCACTTCGATTCACCTTCTCACGTCTCGTTGCTCTCTTTCCTCCCTTTCGCTGCTCCTCGGATCGCTACCACGACCTATCGCGAGTCCTTTTTCCTCTGGTTCAACGATCGTGCGCGCGCGTATTCGGCCCTAAAAGGTGGAAAGTAAAAAGGGTGAAACTGGGCAGGGAGCGAATAAAATACTGAATATTATTGTTTGACCCGTCGCGTCGGCGTATTTTTTGGGCCTTGGCTCCAGCCGCGGCACTACGTTCTACAACCTTCCTTCCTTCTGACTTATACGCCACGTTCTCTTTCTCGTCCAAACGTATCGTTCTTCTCTTCCGCTTTACCCAGGCTTCTTTTCACTCGCGATTCTGGTGTAAAAACACCCTCTCCCGGTTCTTGCACGCGTGCCAGACGATATTTATACAATTCCACAACTTTTTCCAACCGTTCTTCCTCCCCCCGTGAAATTCTTTTCGACGGATCCTCCCTATTCACGAATTTCAGTGCTCGCGAGTCGCAGGCGTTCGACATTCCTCCGCGTAGCACGCCTCGAGGGTTCTAATTGATTCCGCAAACCAACCACTTAAGAGTTCTTCAACCCTTCGTTCAGTCTGGTTTACATTGTGAACGAAGAAAAGTGATTCACAGGAGGAAAATAAAGGACTATGTGAGAGGAGCTTAGAAACGGCAATAACAATTTTTCGAATGACTATTACACACAATGAACATGACTTTATTATAAATTTCTCTTTACAAATAAATAACATAAGCATTATTACTTTGTATTAAGCAGCTGCTCGTTAAGAGGCGCATCATTTAACATTTAATCGTCGACAAGGTATAAAAAATGATTCCTCGTAGTTGCGTAGTTGGTAATTAACCCTTCTCCGCGTCGAAAGGAACGACCGCTCCTCTCTTTTACCTCTCCGGTTCTAATCGAGGTTAATTTTCCCGTGAAATACTAAATCTACCCTCAAACGGGTTGGCCAGGCAGCGCCAATAAACCGAGCAGGAAAACGGCTACGAACACTGATCATTACCGTCTCTCTTGGTTCAAGCTCGGAGTCTCGAGGCTGAGCCGAGGCCCCGGCTTCGGATTCCGTATACTATTTATTACAGCGTAACAATATCTTTCATTACCTTTACCTATAATAACACCCATTCATCTCGTCGAGAAGGGCCGCTCTCTTTTCCCTGGAACCGTTTCCTTACCGAGGAATCCTCCTCGCGGTCCCGCATGAATATCAACGCATACATAGAGAAACATATCGGCGGAGAGGAGGAGAAGGAGAAGGAGGACAGGAGACAGGAACGGTTGCTCCCGGACGGAGGACGAAGGAGGGCGAAGCCCGGGCAGGCCAAGTAGGATGAGGATTCCCCTCGGCCAGCGAGAGAAGGAGAGACGGCCACCCACGTCGAGGGCGCAAAGGCGATATTTAGCGGAAGGCAAATCTCTCCGGGGCCACCCACGTCGGCTCCTTCGCTCGTTCGTTCGTTGTCGGGGCTACCTTATTTCAGGGTGCAACCAAGACGGCTGTATTCGCCTTTCCTCTGTGGCCCTGGTGCGTGAGCCACTAGTACA